GGAGGGGGCGGGGGCGAGTGTGGGGCCGTGTGGTTCAGCCACCCACTGGTGATCCGAAGAAAAGTTGCCCTCGGACCTGCCCCAGCCTCCTGCGTCCTTCCCCCGGCCCTGCTGGTGAGTTGGAGTCGGGCGGGGAGGAGCCGGGCAGAGACCTGCGAAGTCTCCGGTGAGGAGCCCGCTTCCCTTTCCCGTGGGACTCGGCACCCGGGGAGGCGCCGGGTCCAGTCCTCAGGACCGGGAACAAACTTTCTGGATCGTCCCGGGACACTTGTCGGGCCAGCGCAGCACCGCGCGGGGAGGAGGAGCCAGGCCAGGGGGACAGGTACGTGTACGTGGCACGCTGCCGTGTGAGTGGCACTTGAGGGATTCTTTTAGTTCAGGGGGTTAAGGGAAGGGGGCGCAGAAGTGTCCCTTTCCTGCATCTCCCCTCCTCCCCGCGCTGGCTGGAGGAACAGGTATTGGGGCGGGGGTTGGAGGGTGTGGGGGCACCCAGTGAAAATATCCCTAACAAGATTCGGGGTTGGCCAAGCACAGCGGGGAGGAGGTGGCTCCCAGAGCTATGGGACTTGGCGTTACTCAGTGATAACCCTGGGGGAGACAGAGCGAGGTTGTTTTGACGGAGAAAGATGTCATCAGGGCTCTACCCCTTTCCCTGATCCCCGTGGCCCGGGAGCTGGATCCCACGGGAGGAACAGGCAAAGGCATAGAAATCTAGGGCTCAGTTTCCCTCTCCAAACTCCCGGCTTACACTAGAGACAGAGGTGGCGCCACGTTGAGGTTTGCAGCACTTGACTGGTGTGAGGACCTGCTTGTTGGGTGGCTGTTGCTCAACTTCATAAGTTCTCAAGTGAACCTGCGTTTAAGTCATGTCTGTTGTTATCGATGGTGTGTGTGTGTGTGTGTGTGTGTGTGTGTGTGTCTCCCGCCTCCACCTCAACAAAGCTCCCTTGTTAACCCCACTAGGGAGTGGAACTGGCTGCTGTCCTAACCCAGGCAAGCCAGAGCGCCAGAGCAAGGTGTTGGTGGCAGCAGTAGCAGCCCTGTTTGCTAGGGGCATTGGGAATCCTGTGAGCAGATCGGATGAATTAGCCCAGCTCTGTCCCACCAACCTGGATCCATGCATTCTTAGCAGATCCGGCCTCCACCTTTCAGCAGGTGCTGAAGCCTCAGCTATCTAGGGACGTGCACAATTCCACATGGAGAGAAGGAGCCCCAATCAGAGGACAGACAGCCCTGAGGAATAGTAGCAAACAGTGTATACCTATTGTTGCTTCCCTATAAATCTGATCTACCCCCTGACTTCTCTGAAAGGGTCCTGCTATCAAATTAATCTCATTAGGAAGTCAGCTGCTCTCTGCTATCATGGATAGAAGCTCTGATGAAATTATGTAGGTCATTGAAAAATAATTCCTGCTTAATCACTTTTATCCCCTTGGTTAATGAGGGAAAAGATTTCCTCTCCTTAGTGTATCTTGCCTGCTTGGCAGGGTCACTTGCCTGACCCTCAAGTTTCTTGTATACCTGGCACTAAATAGGATGTTGTCCCTGAAGCTGCCCAAACCTAGTGTACTACAGCTGAAGTCCACATTTGGAGAACTTAACTGGTCTTCTCTGGACAGAATTGAGCAGGAGATTCAGGCCGTAAATTTACTCTTTAACCAGCATATTCTTGGCTTTAGATAACTTTTCAGATAATCAAAGGTTGGTTTCTTTCAGCTCCAGTTCATCTCTTTCCACAGAGCTCATAAGAATTGTGTCCATGCTTATCTTGAAATAAACTAAGTTTGGGATTCCATTTGTTATTTGTCCTATAGCTTTTGGAACAGGATAAACTGTGAGGCAGGTGGAAAAGGCAAGAGAAACCAAACATCAGTGAACCAGATTCAGGAGAAATTTAGAATAGCTGTAGCCTAATAATTTAGGCCACTAGCTTACTTCTTGCCTCTACATAGAGACCCTATAGCAGTGATTCCCAAAGTGGGCGCTACCGCCCCCCCTTCTTGCCTCTACATAGAGACCCTATAGGTTGTACCCCTTTTCATGCAGTCCTTTTGAAGACTAGAAATGGAAGGACTGTTTTACTGCAGAGTCAGAGTAATGCACTGCTGGACAGTTCTTCATGTTAACCTCCCAAGTTTGGTTCAAAACACTTAACTCTGCAGAGTTCTTTCTACCATAATAGGAAGTCAATAGATAATGTCTACAAATCAAGAGGCAGATGTACACGTACATTATTAGAGAGGTAGAGGTGCATATTAGAAGAGACAAAGAGTTACCTAAGGAATGACTTTTGAAATTACATTCTTATATTACTTTTAAAAAGATAATTTGATAAGGAAACTCCCTTTCTCTGCAGATATAAAAATTGCTTTCTTGGGTCACTGCTAGCCTTAGACGCTTGATCTTTATTCTGTGTAGATTTGTCTCATAGGGCAATACATAGGCCTTTAAAGAACTGGACCCTCAGATTCTTACCTTGGAACACAATTTACATCTACATCACGCTTAATCTCCGCTACTTCCAACTCTTAGTTTTTAGCCTAGGTAGGGGAACAGTGCTCAAGAGTGATCAGTAACTTTAGGGACTTCATTTATGGGGCTCTTTTAGTAAAGACAATAAGAGAAAATAACATTTCTGTAGTGCTTTATGATTAACAAAGTGCTTTGACATGTGCAATATTTCTGCATTGTGATTTAACCATTTTGTAGTGGGTCCTATTATATTCAGGCTACACGGGAGGAAAACAGATGAGATTCAGAGAAAATAAGGAACTTTTAGATGCATATTTGGCTGCTCTATGTGGTGGACTCAGACCTGAATTTAGGATTTCTGATTTAGATAAGGCCGTGTTTTAAACTTTTTCCTGCTACTTTTTGTGAAGTGTTTGGATGTAAAATGGGACATTAATTTCTTATTAAACAGACTGTCTATATTGAAGACAGGACTGTACACCTCTATATGTGTTTGTAATATTTGTATCCTTTGCATGTCAACAGTGTGGCTGTACCCAGAGAGGTAGGTGGGTTGGGTGAATAAATGCTCCCATTAGATTGAATAACGAACTTTCGGTAATGTCTAAAATTGAAAAAAATCAGGAAAGAGCAATGTAAGTGTGTGGTTTACAAATATTGAAGTAATTACTAGAAGAGACATCTTGCAGAGTTGAAGGAGCTTCTTTTGGGGAATGGAACTCAGGCTGAAGGAAAGCCAGGCAGAAGTCTGCTGTCTTGGGTAATACCTTATAACTTTATACCTTATATTTTATATTATGTACATGCATATTCTTTTAAAAAATCTTTTGGCAAGGACAGAGTAAAGGCCTGTTTTCAGAATTTTTGAGTAGTAAGGGATCAGAGATTATTTACTGTCAGTTCTTTCATTGTGCAGGTGAGGAAATTGAGGTGTAGGAGTTTAAATATTTTGTCAAGGTCACATGGCTATAGAAACAAACCCTTCCCAGCACAAATTCACACTCTCTCCCCAGGCAGGTGGAAATTTTCCCCAGGCTTGTAATTTCTCAATTACCTTTTTAGTCAATTCTCTCTTCTCCTATCTAGTTTTTCCAATGTTTGTGTAGATTACAGGACTGTAGATTCAAAATTAATTTCTCATATTTTCATTATGACAATACTTCAAATATCTTTAGAATCTTCAGGCTCTGTAATTTTTTAGTTAAATTTGCAATGACTTTTAGTTAGAATTAGAGACACCTAGACAATTTGTGTGTGATTTTTTTAGGAATTGACAGTGTTTCTCAGTTGAATTTGATAAATACTGGAATTAGGGCTCAACTTTTATCCTGAGAAGCTATGATTAACAGAAGATGCTGAAGGGGCTTTTCTAATATCTCTGTGTTAGTTGCTTAATTTTAAAGTTCCGGGAATAAGGATACAGCTGTCTTCCAAAAGAGTGGTACATTCATGACATTTTAGATCTAATATATTAAAGTTTTAACTCCTAAGTTTTCCTTTTCTTTACACACAAGATTTTCTCCTACTTCCATTCCACATATATCACTAACTTAAAACTTTTTTTATGATTACATACACAATATATATTACTCAACATTCAAAGTTTTAGGAAGATGTAATCTTGAAAATTAAAGTACACTGTAATCTTATATTCTGAAGAAACTGCCAATACTTCTCTCTCTATTAAAATATATTTATTATTATTGTGAGTATTAATAATAACTGGGGTCACACTAAACAACTTTCAACTTGGTTTTTGTTTTTAACTTAATATATCTTGAAAATGTTTTCATGAAAATATATATATATGGCATCCTGGCTGTATATCATTGCATCACAGGTCATTAAAACAATTGCCCATTGTTAAAAATTTGTGTTGCTTCCCATTTTTCCATACTAAGAACAGTGCTTTAGAGAATATCCTTAAAGTATACTTGTGTGAGTGTTTTTTGTAGGAAAGTTTTGTGAGTCAGGGATATGAGAATGTTAACATTTTAAAATTATACTTCCTGTAATATTAAAATTACATTGATACCCTTTTTTTTTCTGAATGCATAAGACTGAAGATAGAAATTCTTAATACATGATCAGACACTGAAACAAAAGGTCATAGTAGCAAAAGGCTCTGAGCTGTTAGGTAGGGCTCACCTCATTTCCTCACATTTTAGATTCTTTTTGATTTAAATTTTTTCCCCCAAGAGAAGACAGTAATTGATAACAGCTATAAAAATACTCTGCAGTTGTTGGATGAGCTGCTAATTAGCTTTTATGGAGCATAGTTTTTTTTTAAAAAAAGAACACATTTTCTTAACATTATTCTAGGACATGCCATTAAGGAGTTCAGAGACTCCACTAAGCTTTGCAAAATGAACGTATTTTAGCATCTCTTCTGGTATTTTTAAAGTTTACCTCTATTGAAATATTGGTAATGGGTAAATTTTAAAGTCTTTAGGCTTGTAGAAAGTGCTAGGAACTGATTTTACTCTTCTGAATGTGGAAAATGTGAAATAAGATACTTTGGCTAAATTTCATGACTCAGGCTCATTAAAGCAGGAACATTTCAGGGATTCCTGTGGTAAAGTTTTTATTGACCATCTTAGAGAGTTGATTAATATTTTTACTGAGTCTAAGCTTTGTTCATAACCAGTCAATTACAGGATTATGTTTCATTCTTCAAAATTAGTGTCTTCAGTTTTGTTTGTGTGCATGAAACTTGTACTTAAAGATTATTCATTTTAGGTTGATTTTCTTTGTAGTACTAGTATATCAGAATGAGTATAGCTATATTTTAAAAATATAATCTTCAATAGGTCATTTAGCATGAATACTATGTACATCCTCAAAATGAAA